GGGTTTGTGAACTTCACTACTCTAAGCTTTTTTTTTTTTTATCACTACTGTTCAATAGAATTGGTTTTCTTGGTAATCCTACATGCTTCATTTGGGACACTTAAAACCATGATTCTGAAAAGGGGTCTATTGGCTTCCCCAGACTCCCTCCCCGCCTGGATTACTTCAGGAGCTGCTGGTGCATCTTCTGGCTTTAGGTCTCTTCCCGAGCCTATCCATTCTGTACTCAGCTGTCAAAGCAATCCTCCTAAAACCATCTGACCACACCATCCCCCTCTTTGATTGACTCCCATGGCTCCCTATTGCCTCCAGAATCAACTACGACATCCTCTGTTTTGGCTTTTCAAACCCTTCATCGCGTGGCCCCTTCCCACCTTTCCAGTCTTCTCATCCCTTCCTCCCCGGATGCCATGACCCTGGCCTCCTTGCCTTTCCTTGACACAAGGTACTTCTGACTTGGGGCATTTTCCCTGCTGTCCCCAAAGCCTGGCATCTCTGCCTTCTGGCTTCCCTGGTTTCCTTCAAGTCTCAGCTAGTCTGTGGTGCTTCTGCAAGGGGCCTTTCCCAGTCCTCCTCAGTCTAAGAAGACCTCCCACCATTTATTCTGCCTGCATCCTGTTTGTACATAGTTGTCCACATGTTGTGGACTGTAAGCTCCTCAAGGGCAGGGTCTGGCTTTTTTTTCAGTGCCTGGCACACAGTAGGCTCTCAATCAATGATAGTTGACTGGTTAACTGCCAAAGGGATTCACATCACAAGCAAGACTAAGAATTTCTGTTGGAATTCTGCCAACCCACTAGCCTTTGCTGGGAGTGGTGCTTTTGTAAGAGACTCCAGATCCATTTTTGTATATCAGTATTAAACCACACAGCCCCTAATAGCAACGGGCTGTTGGGGTGCCCGGGCTGTCAACAGAGCAGTCGGGCATGGGACCTCATTTCTCTGGGTCAGACAAGGATCAGGGACTCATTGGGTGGTGATGAAGCAACAGCGAATGTGTTCTTGCGTGCCCCGCAGAGGGCCTCTGTCTCTGCAGTTTGCATATTAGTCACTAAACCCTATAGTTTGCCTATGGTGGGTAGGACTGGATTGTGTTCCTTGAAATTTCTCACCCTATTTTTCTTTCCCTTTGTCTTCCTCCCTAAATCAGTCCTTTCCTGTAAGAGAAGAGGGCTGAGTGATGAGAAGAGGAAATAGACAAAGATGGATGTGAGATGTTAGGGGAGGCATGGGAGGGTGAGAGGAAGGAGAGGGTGATGGGAGAAAGAAGGAAATGGCCTGAGGAGAGAGGGAGGAGGCTGGGAAACTAAGGGAAGGGAGACGCCCATCTGCCACTTACTAGCTCTGTGGCTTTGGGCAACTCACTTAACCTCTCTGGTCTCAGTCTCCCAACTCTGCATTTCAATGGACTGTTCCCCATGCCTAGAATGTTCTCTTTCCTTGTCACCAAATCTTGGCTTCCCTGGATTCTTTCAGATCTCGGCAAAAATCCTGCCTTCAGCAAGAAGCCTTTCCAAGCACCCTTCTCTCCGAGACTACCTTCAACCTACCCTATATATGTCATTGTTCAGTCATTTTCAGTCACATCCGACTCTCTGTGACCCCATTTGGGTTTTTCTTGGCAAAGACACAAGAGTGGTGTGTCATTTTCTTCTCCAGCTCATTTTACAGATGAGGAAACTGAGGCAAACAAGGTGAAGTGACTTACCCAGGGTCACACAACCAGTAAATATGTGGGGCCTGATTTAAATTCAGGTCTTCCTGATTCCAGGACTGGCACTCTGTGCACTGCACCACCTAGCTGCCCAACTACATACACAGACACACACATACACACACACACACACACAGAGTATATATATATATATACATGCACACATACATATACATACACATACATACAAACATGTACATATATACATACATACAGAGTATATATGTATATGTATCGATGTATGATTGTGTGTGTGTGTGTACAGATGTATACATGTATGGATATATGGGTAGATATATGTACGTATATACGGATGTGTGTAGGGATGTGTGTGTATATAGATATATATACATATATATCTTATTTCTAGAGAGTTACTGTTGACTCCCCCCCCCCACCACCACCCCCATTAGATTATGAACTCCTTGAGACAGGGATGGTCTTTACCTCAATGCTTAATACAGTGCCTAGTATATAATAAGGGCTTAATAAATGCTTATTGACTGACTGAGTGTGAAATGCAAGAGGATGACCCTTAAGGTCCCTTTCTGCTCCAAACCTAGAATACTTTGATCCTGTAATGTTGGGTGAGGATTACAAGAAATATAGATTCTGGCTCAATGTGTATTCAGCTCAGTACATGTTATATGACAAATGACAATTAAAGCTATGTAATAATGTGGTGCAGTGGATAGAATGCTGGGCCTGAAACCAGGAAGACATGAGTTCAAATCTAGCCTCAGACATTTACTAGTTGTGTGACCCTGAGCAAGTCACTTAACCCTGGTTGCCTCAGTTTCCTCATCTGTCAAATGAGCTGGAGAAGGAAATAGCAAACCGCTTCAGTGTCTTTGCCAAGAAAACCTCAGATGAGGTTGGACACAACTGAAATGATCCCAGCAACAACACCAATAATAATGTGACACTTGTGAAATAGTGATCTCCCCATTCCCAGGAGTGTTTAAGGAGAAATTATATGAGCACTGTGACTATAGGTGGAAAATCAGACTCGGTGACCTCTAAGGTGCATGATTTTGTGGTTCTATGACTATTTGGCCATAATGTCCAGCAGATTTCCCCTGTCCTCATTCCCATGCCCATACCCACACATCCTAATAGGGAGTGTCATTTAGAGATAAAATAATCCTGCCAGGCAGGAGCCTTGGAGAGCATCCCAGCTGAATTAGTTTGGGGGCTTAGGGCCTCTCTCCCCCTCTTTCCCTGCAATCCTCTGCATTTCGAGCTCTTTCCCTCCACACTGTTTCTGTCTCTGTGTTATCCCCAAAGGACACCCTGTGTGTTACTGTCCATCAGAGGCTTTTAACTTTCGCTATAATGCCTGCAGCCTGACTTATCACAAAATAAATACCTTCGGCCTGAGGAAAGCAGGATTTTTCTGGCACTAAAAGATGTATGTTTATATGAAGCAATATTAGAAAGTGTCCATCTTCCATCATCCCAGCCTGCCTTGTCTAGGAAAGACAATTTGGTGTCCAGGAAAGAGCTCTGAGTTTGGAGTAGGAATCGTGGCTCTGACTTTTACTGGCTGTGTGACCTTGGAAAAGTTACTTAGCTGTTCTTAGACCAGCTTTTGAAGGCAGGTACAGGTATACAAGGGCAGCTAGGTGGTGCAGTGGAGAGAGTGCTGGGCCTGCAGTCAGGACTCATCTTCCTAAGTTCAAATCTGGCTTCAGACACTTACTAGCTGGGTGACCCTGGGCAAGTCACTTCAACCTCTTTGCCTCAGTTTCCTCATCTATAAAATGAGCTGGAGAAGGAAATGGCAATACTTCTGTATCTTTGCCAAAAAAAATCCAAATGGCATCGATTTCATGATCACATTTGTTGATTTATGCCAACAGAGCCCCTAAAATGGAGTTTCTGAGCAGTGACTTGCGAATCATTTTTTGATGGTTCATCTTTGGTCACCCTAGAGCTTACTCATTCTTAACTTCATCCCTTTGGCCTTCCTCCTCCCAACCCCATCACAGACTCTGTGCTATCTGGTTGCTAGGAGTTTCTCCCTAGTGATTATTTGGAGCCCACACAGTCTTCCCATTAGAGTTTCACAGGGTCTCGGGGTTTGGAAGAAAACCTTGGAGAGCGTCTGGTCCAACCTGATCCCCACAGCATCCCTGACAAGTGGTCACCCAGACTCATGTGAAGACCTGACCTTTTCCCTTCTGTATGATGGGGGGCAGAAAAGGCTTGAATTCAGAGTCTGGTAGGGCACAGATAAGAGGAAGCAAGACCAGAGCCTACCTAGGGATTTCAGGGAATGGTTATACGTCCTTTATATTGAAATTATTCAAAGTAGACCCTTTCTCCAGACCCCATCTTCCCTCCCTCCCACTTCTCCTACAAGAGACTTTTTTTAACCTCTCAAAATGAAACATTTTTCTCATCCTCTCAAAATAGTACAGTTCAAAGGACAAAAGCAAAGTTGTACAAGCCAATGAATATGACCAAAGAGACAGAACCGGACTTGAGTTCCAGCACTGTTAGGAATTTACTGTGTCCGTTGAGGTCAGTCTATAAATGCTAATTAAGCTCTAATGTGACCCCAACTCATCACTTCATTTCTGTAGGTTTCCTTATCTGTGAATTGGGGGTTGATGGGGTGATCCGGGGTTGCCTAAGCTGGAATTCTGGAAAACATCATCTTTTTGGAAAACCCTTTGTAGATAACACAGTGCTCTCTATTTGCATTTGCAAGATGATGGGGACCTTGAAGGTATTTGGTGATGGGGAAAGAGCACAGACACTGGGGATGGAGGACCTGAGCTCAGATCCTCCCTCTGGCTTTTACTGTCTATATGACCTTAGACCCACTGCTCTGAGCCTCAGTTTCCTTATGTGGAAAATGAGGGAGCTGGAGTAGATGACCTCTGAGATTCTTTAGAGCCCTAGATCTATGTTCTCACGATTTAATTCCTATCTCTTGCACTTACTACCCAAGTGACCTTGGACAAATCAGACTCCCTGGGACTTAGTTTCCAAATCTGTAAAATGCAGGGATTGGACTAGATGACCTGAGGTCTCTTCCAGCCTGGGGTCAATCGTCTGGATCCTCCCCAGGCCTCAGTTTCCTTATCTATAAAAATGAGGGGCCTCTGAGGTCCCCTCCAGCTCTGATTTGTGCCTGTGCGGCCTTGGGCAAGTTCTCCGACCTCCCTAAGCCTTAGTTTACCCATCTATAAAATGAGAGGGCTGGGCTCGGTGTCCTCTGTGTGAGAACCCTTCCAGCTCCAGACCCGGGATCATTCCCTCTGATTTCTTCCCTCAGGTGACCTGGTATCCAGAGCAATGCATCACCTGCAGCCCCTCCATGCCAAGCAGCACGGCAATGGGACACCCATGCACCACAAGCAGGGCGCACTGTACTGGGAGCCCGAGGCACTGTACACCCTCTGCTATTTCATGCACTGCCCCCAGATGGAGTGGGAGAACCCCAATGTGGAACCGTCCAAAGTCACCCTCCAGATTGAAAGGTAAGCCTTGCCCTTTTCTTTGTTGGAGGTGGGAGTAGTGAGATCATGTTCATCGGCCATTATGTCCCTGTCCTGTCTCGGTGATGGCATCCAGCACAAATGGGTACAATGTGAGTGTACTGTGAATGTGTATATGTGAGTGTGTGCTTGAGTGTGAGTGTGTGCCTGAGTGAACGTGAGTGTATATGTGAATAGGTGTGCATGAGAGTGTGTGCATGAGTGTGTGTGAGTGAATGTGAGTGTACATGTGAATAGGTGTGTATGTGAGTGAATGTGAGGATATGTGTATATGTGAGCATGTGTGTAAATGGGAGTGTGGAAATGTGTATGTCAGTATCTGTGAGTGAATGTGAATGTGTGTGTAATTGTGAGTGTGTGAGTATGTATATGCGAGTGTGTGTGTGAATGGGAGTATATAATTATGTGAGTATATGTGTGAATGTGTGTGTGAGTGCATGGATGTGTGTTTAAATGTGTATGTGAATATGTGTGTATAAGTATGTGTGTGAGTGAATGAGCTGTGAATGGGAGTGTGTAAATGTGTGAATATGTGTGAGTGTGTGTGTGACTGCATGGATGTATGTGCATAAACGTGCATGTGTGTACGTGAATGGGAGTGCATGTGTGAATATGTGTATATGTGTATGAGTGACTGGACATGTGTATATGAGTATGTGTGTATGAATGTGTGCATGTGTAAGTGTATATATGTGAGTGTGAGTGAGCATGTGTGTGAGTATGTATGTGAGTGTGTGTGTGTGTGTGTGTGTGTGTGTGTGTGTGTGTGTGTGTGTGTGTAATGAGCCCCGGTGCCTGCGCCCTGGAGCTGGCCGGTTTTGCTTGTCATGGAAGGGTTTTCTGGACTTTGCAGGAGCTGGGCACGGGATGGGATTTCACTCGTGAAAGCTTTTCCAGACTTCGGCTTCCATTGCTGGAGCTTCTTGGTGCTTGCAAATCCTCCCAGGCAGTTGTGTTTTCTTTTCACGTTTGAAAGAAAAAAACACACATGTGTGTGCACACACAGCTCTGGGAAAAACTGCAAAAATGGTGATCTGATTCTGGGGTTGAGACGTTCATCCCAAATGCAAACCTGTTCTTTGTGCTGTGGAGTGGGCTGGGGCCCCTCCACTCCTCTGGGGCTTTCTTCCTGCCCAGGGGTCTGTGGCCATAGTGGGTCTCAGCTGTTTTCCATCTTAGCTGCTAATTAATCATCCACTGAAAACCTCCATGGTGAATAATCCCCAGAATTTGTGAGCAGGATGATGCTGGTTCGATCCATTCATTCATTCATTCATTTGTTCAACAAGCATCTGTTAAGGCCCTGCCTGATGTCTGTACAGTGGCTAGGCACCAGGGATGCAAAGCATGGTATCTGGGTGGCACAGTGAGCAGAGCTCTGGACCGGGAGTCAGGAAGCCCTGGGTTCCAGTCCTCAGACGCTCATTAGATGTCTGACTCTGGCCAAGTGACTCAATCTCTACCTGCCTCCATTTTCTCATCTGTAAAATGGGGATAATAGTCACGCCTACCTCCCAGGGTTGTGAGGACCGAATGACATAATGTTTGCAAGCACTGTGCTACATATATGCTAGCTAGCCATGACTGTTACGGCAGAAAGTGTGTGCGCTTTGAAGCCTAAGGACCTACGTTCAGGTCCCTGCCAGTAGATCTCCATTTCCTTATTTATAACATGAGGGAGGAATCTCAGCAGAGCACCTCTTCAGTCCCTTCCGCCTGAGTGGGCTGCAGTGGAAAGGACCTGGAGTGAGAGTACTTGGGTTCAGATCACTCCTCTGATGTTTTCTGCTCATGTGGCCTTAGGCAAGTCATTTCTCCTGGGCCTCAGTTTCCTCATCTATAAAATGAAGAGGTTACACCAGAGGGCCCCTCTGGTCCCTACTATCTCTAGATTTATGATTCCAAGGCCCAGCCAGGATGGAATCTAAATTCTGCTGGGGAGGAGAGACAAGGAAACAGGCATCTGGATAAGGAAGCAAAGATATGCAAAATGAATAAAAAAGTGATTTGGATGGAAAAACACAAACAAAACAAATAACAACCCTAGGGGTGGGGGGAATACCCCAAAGCAATAGCAATTACTGAAGGAGGGAGCCAGCCTCTGGGCTGGGAAGCCCCTGGGTTACAGAACTGTCCCAGGCACATCCTCACCAGGTAGCTAAGCCCACCATAACCTCTCCAGTGACTCCCCAGTGCAATGAGGGTGAAGAATGGGTGCCTATCTTCTTTAACAGAGGAGTGAAATTAGAGATCTGGGAGCCCTCCAATAAAAATGCCATTAAATAACCCTGAGATCTGCCCCCAACCATCAGGGAAAAACTCAGGTCTGAACAGAAAGGAGTGCAGGAAGGCAAACGTGTGAATTCACTACTGCCAGAAGTGTGTGTTGGTGTCTCTGTTCTCGAAGATAATTTGAACATATGCAAGAACAGTGATTTAATTTGTCATACCCTCCGACCTAGGCATCTCAAGGCTGGTTTTAACCCCTACAGAGGTTGCTGATGGCAAGAAGAAAAAAAGTCTCAGGTTCGAAAATGCCTGGCATGAGGGAGAGAGTCCTGGATCTGGAGGTCAGGGGCCAGGGTTCAGGCCTTGTCCCCATCCCTTCTGCCAAGTCACTTAGTCACACCAAGCTTCACTTTCCTCCTCTGCAAAATGAAGAGGTTGGATCAGGAGGCCTGGAAGGGCCCTTTTCAGCAGCTATATTCTAGCCCCTAGCTCCCCATCTACAAAGAAAGCAGGGGCGTGCCTCCCGACCCAGCCCCAGCACCAGCCTCAATCCTTCGTCACTCATGGGCTCATTGTCAAGATTTTGTTCAGAAATAAGTATTTTTAAGAAAAGGTCGTGAACTTTAGGAGAAATAAAGTATGGGAACAGTCTGGAAGTTTAAAAAACTGCTTTGTTTGAGAAAGCATTTGTTTTCCATCACGGAAAAAGCCATGGAATCTGAGTCTCTCAATAAGACTATTTCAATATTGGTAAAGATAGATAGATGAGAGATCGATAGAATAAATGGATGGATGGATGGAAGGAGACAGGATAGATGGATGGATGGATGTATCAGTGGAAGGAAGGATATAGGTATATAGAGATAGAAAGATAGACATAGGATGAATGGATGGATAGATAGATAGACAGATAGACATATAGATGGACAGACAGGCGGATGGATGGAGACAGACAGACAGACAATGGATAGACAGACAGCACCGTGTAGGCTCTGGGGGAATACAAAGACAAAATTGAAACAATCCCTACCCTTGAGAACTTATAGTTTACAGGAGGGGACAACATATAAAACAATGTAAAATAAATGTTGTTCAGTTGTTTTTAGCCATGTCTGACTCTTTGTGACCCCATTTGAGGTTTTCTTGGCAAAGATACTGGAGGGGTTTGCCATTTTCTTCTACAGCTCATTTTATAGATGAGGAAACTGAGGCAAACAGGGTGAAGTGGCTTGCCCAGGGTCACAGAACTAGTAAGTGTCTTTGGTCAGATTTGAACTCAGGTCTTCCTGACTCCAGACCCAGTGCCACCTAGCTACTCCGGTAAAATAAAATATAGACAAAATATTTTGAGAGAAGGGGCAGCAGCAGCTTCAGAGTTCAAACAAAGCTTAATGTCTGAAGTGTTTAAGCTGAACTTTGAAAGAAACTAGGCATTCTTAGAGGCAGAGGGGAAGCAATTATTTATTAGGTGCTTCCTATACCCATTTTACAGATAATAGCCAGCATTGATATAGCTCTTACTCTGTTCCAGTTCCAGCTTTACAAATATTATCTTACTTGATCCTCATGCTAACCTGGGGATGTAGGTGCTATTATTATCCTCATTTTTTATAGTTGAGGAGACTGAGGCAAGTAGAGGTTAAGTGACTTGCCCAGGGTCACAGAGCTAGTAAGTGTCTGACTCAGTGTCTTCCTGACTTCAAGCCCAGTACGCTATCCACTGTACCACCCGGCTGCCAGACAAAGAAGGCAGCATGGTGTGGTAGAAAGAATGCTGAACCCAAAGTGAGGGGAGACCTGTGTTTGAATCCTGGCTTTGATATAAGTTGTGTGAGCCTGTCACAAGTCTCTGTTTCCTCATCTGTAAAATGGAGCCAATTACACAGCAGCTGCCCACCTATGTGGGACAGTTGTGAAGAATGGCCTTGAGCAAGTCACCACCCTTCTGGTCTCAGTATCTCCACGTGTCAAATGAAGGGAGTTGGGCCAGATGCCTCCAAGGTCTAGAGCTAGGATTCTGTGGCTAAAGGGGCTTAGCCAGGGCTCACCCCCAAGTCTCCTGATTTCCAGCTCACAGCCCTCTCCTCTGGGCAATCCCAGAAAGACCTGAAAGGCAGGAAAGTAAAATTGCATTGTGTTTAGAGGGCCGGAGGCAGCTGCAAACCCAAGGCAAAAAGCAGAGGAAGATAATGAGCTTCCCTTGGTTGCTCTAACACATAACATTGATGGCCAATTAGTTGGCAAGAAGGGAAGACGAGGCAAGAATTTGACAGGTGTGTGTCCAGTAGTGCATGATTACAGAAAACCCTTCCGCATTTGCCAGTGGGAGGGGGCTTTGAAGTCCTCCCCTCCTTGCAGGATACAGCCTGGGGCTTTTGGACTCGATTGCCCAGGACTTCATCACAGGGCAGGGGGAAAGGCTTGCTTCTGACCACACGAGGTACCTGGTCTCCCAACGGTCAGACCTCCTCTCAATGGATATAGCTGTTGTTTGCCTTCATGTCACTCTTAGCTTCTTTTCTGAATCCTGCTGAAACATTTGATTCAATCCAGTTCAACAAGCGTTTATGAAGCACCTACTATGTGTCGGGCACTGTGCTAAGCATCAAGGAAACAGAGACAAAAGCAAAACAGTCCCTACCCTCGAGGTGCTTCCACTCTATAGGAGTTTGTAGAATCACAGACTTAGAGGTAGAAGGGACCTGAAACAGTCCATCAGCAAACATTTAGGAAGCACCTACTATGTGCAGGCA